TTCAAATGACGTCCTAAAATAAATGTCCACTTCTCTGAACCCACTGCAACCGTCATAAAAATGCGGTTCAAATGACGTCCTAAAATAAATGTCCACTTCTCTGAACCCACTGCAACCGTCATAAAAATGCGGTTCAAATGACGTCCTAAAATAAATGTCCACTTCTCTGAACCCACTGCAACCGTCATAAAAATGCGGTTCAAATGACGTCCTAAAATAAATGTCCACTTCTCTGAACCCACTGCAACCGTCATAAAAATTCGGTTCAAATGACGTCCTAAAATAAATGTCCTCTTCTCTGAACCCACTGCAACCGTCATAAAAATGCGGTTCAAATGACGACCTAAAACAAATGTCCACTTCTCTGAACCCACTGCAACCGTCATAAAAATGCGGTTCAAATGACGTCCTAAAATAAATGTCCATTTCTCTGAACCCACTGCAACCGTCATAAAAATGCGGTTCAAATGACGACCTAAAATAAATGTCCACTTCTCTGAACCCACTGCAACCGTCATAAAAATGCGGTTCAAATGACGATCTAAAATAAATGTCCACTTCTCTGAACCCACTGCAACCGTCATAAAAATGCGGTTCAAATGACGTCCTAAAATAAATGTCCATTTCTCTGAACCCACTGCAACCGTCATAAAAATTCGGTTCAAATGACGACCTAAAATAAATGTCCACTTCTCTGAACCCACTGCAACCGTCATAAAAATACGGTTCAAATGACGATCTAAAATAAATGTCCACTTCTCTGAACCCACTGCAACCGTCATAAAAATGCGGTTCAAATGACGTCCTAAAATAAATGTCGACTTCTCTGAACCCACTGCAACCGTCATAAAAATGCGGTTCAAATGACGTCCTAAAATAAATGTCCACTTCTCTGAACCCACTTCAACCGTCATAAAAATGCGGTTCAAATGACGTCCTAAAATAAATGTCCACTTCTCTGAACCCACTGCAACCGTCATAAAAATGCGGTTCTGAACTTATGACGGTTTGAACGGGTTTTTTTTTTTTTTTTTTTTTTTTTTTTGATCCTCTGAAGATATATGTGTGTTTATGTCATTGGTGTCGCTGCTCAGACTAAGGAATGAATAAACATATTTCTACGTAAAACATATATTTTTCCTGCAGCTCTTAATACCTAAATACTTGTGTATATACTTTAAAACTTCCATCGAGACAAATGATACGGAGGCTGGTTGCAGTTTCTGAGACCAGGCCCGGCCCTACGGTTGATGGCGTCCGGGCAAGCTAAAATGTGGCGGCCCCTTTTTGGTATAATCATACAAGTGTGTGGGCAAGGAACAAAAACTGGGGATTAGGAAAGGAGTTTATTACTTAGGTTGGCTTTTTTTTTAGCCAACAATGAACAATAAAACAGTTTTCCTAGCTTGTATTTGGACAAGATGAACGATTAGCTTACAGTGGGAAATATGAACAATGAGCCTACCGTGGGAAATATGAACAATGAGCCTACCCTGGGCAGTATGAACAATGAGCCTACCGTGGGCTGTATGAACAATGAGCCTACCGTGGGGAGTATGAACAATTAGCCTACCGTGGGCAGTATACACAATAAGCCTACCGTGGGGAGTATGAACAATGAGCCTACAGTGGGGAGTATGAACAATGAGCCTACCGTGGGCAGTATGAACAATGAGCCTACCGTGGGAAGTATGAATAATGAGCCCACCGTGGGCAGTATGAACTATTGACCTACAGTGGGAAGTAGGAACAATTAGCCTACCGTGGGAAATATGAACAATTAGCCTACCGTGGACAATATGAACAATTGGCCCACCATGGGAAATGTGAAAAATTAGCGAATCATGGGAAATAATAGCAATTAGCATGCCGTGGGCAGCATGAACGATTAGCGTATCGTGGGAAATATGAGCAATTAGCCTACCATGGGAAGATGAACAATAAGCTACCGTGGGCAATATGAACAAATTGCCTTCTGTGTGCAATATGAACAATTAGCCTACCGTGGGAAATATGAACCATTAGCCTACCGTGGGAAATATGAACAATTAGCCTACCGTGGGAAATATGAACAATTAGCCTACCGTGGGGAAATATGAACAATTAGCCTACCGTGGGACGTATGGACAAAAAAGTATCGATACCATTTTTTTACCCTAGCCTTTAGATCAGCAAATCTTTTTTATGACACTTTCTCTTTTTCTACCATGGCGCCCACTTGCAATTATTCTTTTCCTATTTTAAGAAGTACGTTGATGCCACGCTAAACACATGGTGCCCCGGGCTACGTCCCGAATAGCCGGTACCGTGAGCCCTCTCTCAGACACACACAAAAATATACTATGAAATAAAGATGTATACATAGAATCCATTAATTTATACGTATTAGAAATCAATCAGTTGTTTGTTTTGTGGGTTTTTTTTAAAAGGTATATTCGCTCTTGCAAAGGTTGCATTTTTTAGGCAACATTTTTTGCCAAGTATACAAAAATTCATGAAGAATAAATTGCGTTTTATGCTGTGCTGTACCTGGTACCAACATAAACGTCTTATTCTTTGGAAAAAAAATATATATATCATTTCCATGGCAGATACAGAGCAAATGAGTCTTGAGGAAGAAAAAAATATTTTGACAGTGCTGAAATATGCATGTTGTGTATATGTGTATCAGTCGAAACTTGGTGAGAATTGAACACGTTGATGGAAGTTAAATATTAGACGATCATTTAAGTGTATACACATACTGCCGGTGTGTTTCGTATAACGAATTCTGGCGATTTATCGCGAAACTATCGCTGGTATTGTTACGCGCAACTAACGCTGCAGTGTGATGTGTTACTGCTGCTTGCCGACAATGTGAGCTGGCAGTGTGATGTGTTACTGCTGGTTGCCGACAATGTGAGCTGGCAGTGTGATGCGTTACTGCTGCTTGCCGACAATGTGAGCTGGCAGTGTGATGTGTTACTGCTGCTTGCCGACAATGTGAGCTGGCTTAGAAACGCTGGCCGTGCGCTCAAGTGTCACCCCAATTCGAGCTGTACGTAACAAAGAAAGGACACAACGCGTTTCTCCTTTATACGATTAATAAACAAAGACTCGGTTAGGATAACGTGTGTTAAGTATTGCAACTAAGTCAAAATGGAACAATTTCAGTAGGTTAGAAGCCATTGGCTGACATGATATTCGACCAGGGGGGGCTTCACCATCGCACGAGACCCTTGAAGAGTTCGTGTCATTTTTAATGCAGGCAAAGAGGGGGGAAAAAACAGTTCTTGACATTGTTAATGTCATCGATGTTCCAAACGGCATTGCATTGATGTATCTATCAGAACAATGCCGGAGTGTAATCGTGGACGACCGTTGAAAACACTCAGCCACATATAATATACAGGGATACCGTGTGTCCGGTGATGCGGTTATGCAGTGCTCAAGAGATTTCCAGAGATGGTGTCAAGGATAAATACGATGGTGTTGTTTTATTTTTTTTTTAAACATCAGTTTCAATCATAGTTACAAAATACACTCGTGACGATAGGATTGCGCTCTGCTGTCAGGTGAGCTCCGGTTTATTCAAGTTTTAACGTTACCTCTGCGTCACTGACTGTAGCACTCGTAATTACGTCTTGTCAAAATGCAAAGGTCAATATCCTCTGGGACGGGTCACCCCAATCGAAAAATCGACATACTTCAACCATGAATGGTCGATTAAACGGCGATGGTTGTCATCTTAGTCGGATCTGAAGTGATCAGTGATTGAACTCAAGCGACAGCCTAGAAACTTGGCCTCACCGTTGGAAGCAAGGAAACAAGCACGACCTCTCGAAGTAGTGAAAGTAACATTAAGGGGTCAAGAACATTACTTGACAGAATGTTTGGAGAATCCCCACAACACAGGGAACTCTGTTCCTGTGTTTACAGGACGATAGCAGGGACTATGTGAATTAAGAACAGACGGCCCGCCACGTCAAATAAAGCAGACCGCGGATTCCTGATTGATCACCATAAACTTCTTCGTTTTTCACTCAATTTATCAAAAGATTTTTTTTAT